GGTTAGGCGGGCTCTCCGTGGTGCTGCCTCTGAATGTGTGTGACATCAGCCTGGAACCAGAACAGGGACAGGTCCGTGGGTGCGCTGGTCAGGGGCTTCCCTTTGGGGTGTCCCCCAAGGACACAGATTGAACACTATGGGCACATGTATTTTTGTATGTCTTCACATTTGGACAGGCAGTTTTCCTTATGGACTGTACATATGAGAGTATTATATAAAAGAAGCCAAACTGCTGTACAGCTGCTTGGCAGGTGAGCGTGGCCCTGGCCCACCCAGCGAGGCCCCGCCAGCCTGGCAGGGAGGAAAGGCAGCAGGCTCTGGCCATGGCAGACTGGGCTGCACTGGGCTGCACTGGGGTAGGCAGGATGGAAAGAGACAAAAAACTTTCACTGGGATGAGCTCCCGGGCAGGAGGAATCCGCTGCCAGCGACACATTTTGCATCTTGCTCAGGCCTGCAGTGACACCGCCTATCACACTCAGCCAAGCATTAAAGCCTTCAAAATGTGACTATGGCAGGTTTTCTCCCAGGAGTTGTAAATCTGTTTTCATTACAGCTCTATTCTTCTAATTCCTGTGAGATTTTCCTGCTGAACACTGTGTCTTCAGAATAAAACAAGCAGCGGGACATCATCAAACCTACTGACTGGCAGCACCAGCCAATGTATTTGGTGGTAACCTCTGTGCAAGGCTGGAATAATGTAGTGTTTCTAGCTTCCCTGCCAAGTGGCTGAGCTCTTTGACAAAGAGTTCACTTATGTCAGCTGTCCTTTCCAGTTCCAGTCAATTGGTTTGCAAGCAGAGCATGAGGATTTCTGGCTGACTGCTTTGGACATACAGGCTGACCCTCATCCTTGCACAGTCCAGAAAACTTTTGCAGAGAGCATTTTGTGAAGGCAAGATTGCATCTCACAAACTTCCTCCCAGTATGTAAATTTGATGCCAGAACTTGATCTGTACCATCTTCATAAAATAATGTCAGTAATGAAAATAAGTATCTGCTCATATCTTACCTGATGTCACCTCCCCACTGAGACTGCTTGGCAAACATTTCAGTTCTTTTATTTTTTGTAGTAATCTTATGCGTATTGTTATTACTAATATTTACAAATAGGTATAAATATTTAGGCTTAATTTTGGGTTTTTTTTTCTTTAAACATTACTTAAAATGGCATGCTCTCAGTGAGCCCAGTTGGTTCTCCAGATATCAAGGGAATACATTTCTTATGGCTCATCCCTTATGAGTAATTTCTTGGCTAAGTTGACTTGAGTGAAGCTGTTCTGCCCACCCAGCTGAGGAGCTGGTCTTTAAAATGGAATTTGAGGCAATGGCCTGGAGGTGAGACTAATTCTGTTTTTATTTTTTCTTGCAGAAATATTTCTTTGCTTTTGCAAAGCTTTTGTCAGATTTCTGTCTCACTTCTATGTCCCATTGTTTCTCTGAAATAGGGCTCAGTGAAACTGAAAGAGCTTGTGGCTCTTGTTTGCACAGAGGTGACTTCGAACCAGTATGAAAAAGGAGGAGTTGTGAGTCAAGAACTGATCATTAACAGGCAGCAAGGGCACATGCCTGTGAGATTGTCTGATCTCCTTGTTTGTGCAAAAGGACTGAAGTGATCACAGCTCCATGTTGCCTATTATTTTAGGGTCAGTGTTTTGCATTATATGGTTGTCTACATGGCATCAGTAAGTTGGCTTCAGCTGCCTGACCACTCCCTGTTTCCCCAGCACTTTCATGGAAAAATAGATTTATCTCACAAGGCCACTCTAGAGACAAAAGCTTTCAAAAAAGGCATTACTATGTGACCTTTTTTTCTTGGTAAGTAAGGAGTGGTGATTACTAAGAAAGCACAAGCTGTTCTGAGAGTTTATTTTCTCTTTTCATGTATGTTTACGTAAGTGTTATTATTTATCCCTTGTATTTCCATGTATTGCCCTTAGCTTAGGGATAGAAGCTAAAGTTTGAGCCCAAGTCCTTTAGA